CTTAGTCGGACTTAAGGACGACTTCCTGCCGCACTACACACCCAGTCCATGCCACCCACTACCATGCGCTTCGCCCCTATTCTTGTTTATCAGCGGAGTTCCATAGGAACCCCGCCGAATGGAGCGCACAGAGTAATGAGTAGCTGACGAGCTGCTTTGAGACATCTGGATACCGAGCCGCTGTTTGCACAGCAGTAGCCTTCAGCAAGGGCAGTGTGCACCCTCCACGTCGTGGATCGCCTTCCCGTCTCACGCCGAGAGGTGCGTGCCTCGGCCATTACCATGCGTGCTGATAGTGAGTCTGTACACATTCCGGCGCACCGCACTGGGCCAAAGCCAGGGGGGGGGGTGACTGCCGCAACTCAGCCACTTGATCACCCCTGTTCTCATGGACTGTATTGGGACTCCCCGGATCTCTTTCCAGTAGTTACTTCAATGTGTAATATGCACGCATTTGGTGGGAATAACCAGCACTAATGGCGTTAGTCGTGAGCCCTTGTTGAGAAATACCTCCAGCTCGGATTTCGGCTGCAGATTCCGCGAGGGCTGCCAAGCCTGCGGCCACGATAGGCCAGTTGTTCCACAACTACTGGAGCCAATATTTTTCTGATCCTGGGTCTGTTGTCCCAAGTCACTATCCGTCTAGCGTACTCGAAACCAAGTCCTCTTTAATTAAATGGATCATTCATACTTCACCACCATTACTCTCGCTTCGTGACTACAGCGCTGACTCGACCACCAGAACGCGAAGGCAACCGAAAGCTCACCTGTTACGGCGAACAATGACCACAATCGACGCGAACGGTTACAAGACCAACGTGTCATCGCTGCAACGCTAATCGGTAGGTACTTGTATGGCTGCTATTTTTTATTGCGGCTCTTCATACCGCAGTCTATCCACCACCTTATGGTAAGAGTTCTATCTTTCTTTATGACGCCTTGCCAAGGTGTCGGCAGTTCGCAATGGCGCCAGCCTCAAGGCCCGTCATTTAGATTTCCTGCTTAAGCAGGTGTCACATACAACCTCTAGCGGACGGCTGTATGTCTAACCACCATCGCGAATTTTTGGACACTTGTATTGGCAACTACCCATACCAACCTCTTTCTTCTTGTAATCATATGCTTGCAATCTTATATTGGTTTAATAATCACTTTCTTTCTTTCTTTTGCATGTGTAATCCATCAACTACAGGTATCACCTGTCTTGGTTACATTCATCCGTGAGGGCAATCACAAACTCGCCGTCTCTGTTGTGAAATAGTATGGGTCATCCTCAACATGCATACACACATTATACTTTAATTAATGACCTAACGGTCATGATACAACAACAACAATAATTACACTGATTTATCATTTCTTTATTTATTATATATTCCAAATGATTACAATTATTAACATTATACTACAGTATATATATATATATATATATATATATACATAGTGTCCCAAAAAAATGTGAACACTGTTTAATCGTTAATAACTCCATTGCTTTTATGCCTTTCGCCGAGCTTTAGGCACCATTTCGTAGACCGAGGTTCAACTTAGATTTACAGTATGAAGCAAAACTCCGATCTCCTTTCGCTACTGCTGGATTACGGTAGGAACTTCCAGCGTGTGAATTCCATTGTGAAATATGCCATTTGATAAAATATTTTCCAAAAAATCTGAAAAATCGTGTACTAGGGTTTTCGCACACACTGAATCCATTACACAACTTTTTACAAGAGTTTCTAGCTTTTTTGACGGGGTAGGGGTAATCACATTTTCGACAAATGCTGGGAATTCTGTTATTACGATTTACCTGGGATAACTTCGGAAAGAAGCGACCAGTAAGGTGGAATTTTCATATTCGAAATCAGCGGATTCCATTACCATAGTGTCAGAGCTTTTGGCTTGTTTGGTTTTGTTCCGAGGCAGAATATGGCCTCTGATGGCCTAAAATCCTTGTTAAAGTTCATCGTAATCGTAAGTTTATCGTAATCCTACAGTAATGAAAAGCGATCGATGATTCGCTCCATACTACAAATCTAAGTTGAACTACGCTCTACAGAATGGTGTCTCAAGCTCGGCGAAAGACATGAAAGCAAGGGAGTTATTAAAGATCAAACACTGATCACATTTTTTGGGACACCCTGTATATGTATATGTACGACAAAAACAACAAAAACTAAAACTGAAACAACTAACTACTACTTCTTCTTATGGTCAAAATTGTCTACTAACAAAACTTACTATTATACAATATTCAATATTCATACATACATATAAAATTATTAGGTGTTGCAAAAATAATGTCCGTTTTTATAAGCCCCTTTTCCAAATGACTTTTTTCCGTAAAACTCTCTTGTACGATATAGAACCTGCATATCATTGGGAAGCTCATCATGTACTTTCTAACGACGGTGGAATTGAATTGCTTTCCTCATCTATGAGAAATCACCGGCATTTTGCACATTCGCACTCAAAATCGAAATTTCATAGCTTTCAGTTTCTTGGCCACAATTCAAGAGCAAATAAACGAATTCTTCTGAAAACATAGCAAATATATTAAATGAGGATTGTTTACGTACTGCATGCTTACGTAGATTTTTGGAGATATCTGGACCGAGAAGTTGACGCCTCGAAATAGATACTCGCTGCTGACATTCTGTGGCTCAGAAATTTCTCATAATTAAGGTAATCGCCAAAGCTTCTCCCATTTCTGCAGGCTTGAGATAATCACACCTTAACTACGATATCTAAAGAAAAACTTAGCTATTCAGTGCGCGAAGAATTCCAAATTTTTATAATTTAGTACTCACAAGCCTACAGCAAATAGGCTTAAAAAAGTGAACATTTTTGAATTTTTATCTTTCTTTTCGCAGAACTCCTTGTTTGGAATTTTTTCTATACAGGCGTATACTACTGGCTTGAGTCTACAAAATAAGCTGAGTGCCAGCTATATGAACAAAACTTGAAGGGAGTTGTAAGCTCTTAAATACGAGGTTTTCAAAATAAAAAGTTTCAGTTTTTTGACGCATGGTATTCTTCGCTTTTGAGATATCAGTACGGGCAGGTGAGCGCTATATTAAGAAAGGTTTGCTGTTTCTAATGGTCTTGACTGCATTCAGAAATATGAAGACTGAACGAAGTTATAGCCTTCCAAACTGAAAATTTGCAAAACGGACATTATTTTTGCAGCAACCTATATAAGGTTGGTCCGAAAGTTCTGTCCCACCATTTTCAAAAAATCATAACTTCCTCCTATCATGATGTTTTTGCATGGCTAAAACCTTTTTGGAAAGAGCAACTCATGCACTTTTTAAAACTGCCTTGGCTGCTATCTTCTAAGCTTTGAATGCAGAGATAAAATTGAAAAAAAAAATCACTTCAAGTTCGGAATTTTCAAGCAGCCCCGTTAAAAAATCCAAAACCGTGCCATAAAATCCAAAACATTATCCTAGATTTTCTGATGTTCTCTTTCTATATGAGCAAAATTCGCGCTGATCGGTCTGTTTTTTGAAAAATTATGATTTTTTGAAAAAAATGTCAAAAAATCAATTTTCTTAAGAAACTGATTTTTTGGCATTTTTTCTCAAAAATCATAACCCTTCTAAGAAGGGCTCCATTAGCGCGAGTTTTGCTCATATAAAAAGAGAAGACCAGAAAACCTAGGATAATGGTTGTTTTGGATTTTATGGTAAGGTTTTGGAATTTTTAACGGGCCTGCTTAAAAATCCCGAACTTGAAGTGATTTCCTTTTTTCAATTCTATCTTTGCATTCAGAGCTTAGTAGATAGCAGCCAAGGTAGTTTTGAAAAGTGCATGAGTTGCTCTTTGCAAAAAGGTTTTAGCCATGCAAAAACATCACGATAGGAGGAAGTTATGTTTTTTGAAAATGATGGGACAGAACTTTCGGACCAACCTAATACAGTGTGTCCCAAAAAAATGTGCCTACTGTTTGATTGTAAATAACTCTCTTGTAACGAAGTGTTTCGAGATGCATTAGGTACCGTTTTGTAGAGCGAGCTTGAACTTAGATTAGCAGTATGGAGCGAATCATCTATCTCCCTTCATTACTGTAGGATTACGGTAGGAACTTCGACAAGGATTTTAGGCCTTTGGAGGCTATACTCTGCCTCGGAACGAAACCAAACAAGCCAAAGACTCTTTCACCATGGTAATGGGAGCCGCTGATTTCGAATTTGGAATTCCCATTTTGCTGTGATGCTTCTTTCCTAAGTTATCCCCGGTAAATCGTAATAACTCAATTTCCAGCATTTGTCAGAAATGTAATTACACCGTCAAAAAAGCTGAAAACACTCATAAAATGTTGTTAGGTGGAATTGGCATGCGCGAAAACCCTAGTACACGATTTTTCAGATTTTTTTTGGAAAAAATTTTGTTAGGTGGTATATTTCACAGTGGTTCCATATGCTGGAAGTTTTACCGTAATCCTACAGTAATGACGAGCGATCGATGATTCACTCCATACTGCAAATCTAAGTTTAAGCTCGCCCTACAAGACGGTACCTAAAGCATCTCGAAACACTTCGTTACAAGAGAGTTATTTACAATCAAACAGTAGGCACATTTTTTTGGGACACCCTGTATATATACACATTAGGTTATTATGAATCCAGGCCAGAGTACCTCGAGTTTTTGGGTATGTCTTCTCTCTCATCTGCTTTAATATCTATTATTATTTCTATTTCACAATCGCTCATGCTTACAACTCTTATTTGCTACAATTCTCTCATCACTTTTGACTATCTCCAAAAGAGCATCTCAAACCTACTTCCATTCTTACTCTTACGCGTTATTTGCTTTCACTACCTCAAGGTAAGTATCCCTACTAACTTCCACTCTTGTTCGTCCTCGTTTCTGTTTCACTTTTTCCTCATTATTTCAACCTGACTATCTCCACCTATCTCTGTTCTTATCCTACCCCTCTTATTCATTATTTAGTACTTTTCCTCTCTCTCTCTTTCTCTCTCTCCCCCCCCCTCGATTACTCCCTACAGGGCCGCTCCGCTGTGCCTCTTTCGCTTCTTTTTCAGAGGCTCCACTACAGGATTGACTTCGCTCAACGGTTGACGGACAACCGGAGGAGGCGCCGATGGCGGTGGCGCTAATGCTTTACTCGTGCAGGGTTCTTCCTCTGGCTCCTTGTCGGAGCTTTCGATCACGATTTCTTGAATTTTTTCCGGCTCTCCAGCTCCCGTGGGGAGCGTTCCGGCAGACGTAGGTCTGCTGCACTATAGCTTTATTTTCTGAAACGTATTCATTTACATTGTGGATTCTTAGTGTTAGACTCACTTTTAATTCCTCTTCCAACTTTTCATTTTGGCCATGAGAGCGCCCTCCTCCATGCTCTCTGCTGCAGCATGCAGAGCAGTCTATGCCTCTCCACACAGATAAAATGACCACTGCCTCTCCAGCATTTCTAAAAGAACTCAAAAAGTCTACTTATATCTTTCCATTGTTGATTTTCCTTACCTGGAATTCGAAAAGGTCCAATTTATACGCCCAGCGATTTCGAGCCTTGTATGCTCCCATTCATGAAATTGCTTTTCACTCATAATTACCTACAATTAGAATGCTTTCATTTCTTGATTCCACTTTCATTGGGCCATGCATACCCCCCCAGTTTATTTTCCAGCCGAGGGGGGGGGCATACATGACCCTTCTCATGGCAATAACAACGACGACAACGACGACGACGACGATTATGTTCACTTTACGCGCACACACCAACACACGCAGGGCAAGCGTATCAACTTCTTTGGCACACATTTGGTTTCACCCTTTATCTCAAGCTTTAGAGGTCAACTGTCAAGCTAATTTCATCCTAATCTAATTTATTCTTTCATGTTTCCTTGAATTCCAGCAAAGTCTACCGACTTCTTGAGATTAACTCGACATGCATGGCTTAGTCTTTAAACTGAGATATAGGACTGACACAATCAATCAGGTATTTATGCCTGCTTTTTAACTTTTTTCAATACGTATGGCTTGAGCATACGATTACTATTATACCAACCAAAACACTATATAGCCTGTACCGATAAACAGGATCTCTACGCATCTCAACGATTCGATACTTTTTTGTCACCAAAATTTGCGCTGTTTTTGATGCAGAATGCACCAATATTGTTGAAATGTTCGCTTACGCACTACAAAGAACGTACAATTAAAGTAAAGCTTCACGTTGAGCTCGGGAAAACTGTCACCGATACATCAGAGTCTAAAAAACTTGGATAATGGCAATTTTCACTGCCTAAATCTCGCAAAATCAATCCGGAAAAAAGTCCATAATTTTGTTCAGCGAGTCACACAGCAGATAGCGAACATAGATTTAGAATCAGCGTTTCAGGGCGCATCTACTGGTATACAACTCATTGCAAAAAGCCACGGTCATTAAGTATCCTTCCCTCGTTAGCCTTTTTATGCTCATATCGTGTCCGCCCATTCCTATCTCATAGTCCTTGTTTTGTTCCTTTAATAGACCTCTAGTACGTATTCTCTGGTTCTCCATTCTTCTGGTCCAGTTCTTCGATCTTCATCGACTCTAAGTCTCTGTATATTAATCTTTTTGCCCGGCCTTCTCTATAGCTGCTCTCTTTTCAGCCACAACTCATTCTGTCCTATGCTTATTCCTCTCCAATCTTACTTTTTTCTATTATTCATTCAACAGATGGCCCTTAGCTATACGTTTATATCGCTAGTCGCCACTCTTTAGAGTTTCTCAATAGTTCTGTCAGTTTTCTTTGTTAATTACAGCCTTTCAGGATTACTTCGTAACCTTTTCGTACACTTTCCTCAACGCCCTTCTTTTACACATATGTGTAACCCATTAGACGATACCGCCTATTCTGATCACAACCATATGTGAAGGCAACCGCAAATTCGCCCTCTCTGTTGCAAATGAGGACCACAATCGACTCCGTTGTGGGACGTTCTTTGATTATTATCTGATCCACTTTCTAGTCCTCATTATCCCACGTGATGGCCCAACGGCCCTAATGCAACGATTATGTCAGGAGGAAATGACGATTTGCCGTTGCTTCATTTATTTTGCTTTCTGAACTATTACAATCATCTACACGTATTATCTACATTATCTCAATAATATAACAGCAACAACAACAAACAGAATTATGAGAAAAATGGCATTCCTTATTGTTAGTTCTACTACTACTGAGTAGGGCACTACTATATATTCATTCATGCAATTTATACATACATATATGTTAACTATTCAATCAATCATCTATTATGGCACTCTGACGTTTTTTCTTTTTGTTAGTCGGGCTGCTGCTCACTTCTGCTTGGCGTTCATGCAATGGTTGGCGTACGGCGACGGTGGCAATGGCATTGATGACGATGGGCACTCAACGGTGTTGCTTTACTTGTTCCGAAAACGTCTTTTCTCTCAACTAATTCATCGTCGGAACTATCGATTATTATTTCATTTGCTTCTTCTGGCACCATTTTCTCGGTGATTGGCCACGTTTCCGCCGAAGTGGGGCGCTTCGCTAGAGCAGCAATTTCTGAACCTAGATTTATTTGCTACAACAGAATAACTTCAGCGTAAGCCAACGTCGAGTTTCTCTTCTACTTTTTTCAGACGATTATTCGGGACACTTATTAGCCCTGTTACATTTATTCGCAAAGGCAACTCATCACTTATTTTGATCTAAGAGGCCGACAAAATCAAAAAGCAAATCCGAATCCTTCAGCAATTCGACAATTCGAACAATTGACCCGTTCACGCCGGTTCCCAGGCTTTTACAGAATATAAGAATTATAGCTGTTTCTGTCCTCCGGACAAAGACTAGAAAAATAAGAAATCTGGAAAGTGACTGGAAAGACTAGAAAGTGAGAGAAGCGCTTGAAGATTTCACCCTGGCATCCTTGGCTAACGAAGAAATCGATAGGAGTTTCAACGTGAAATGGCGCGTCACGACTACTGTAAAGACTACCGCGCCAGGACCCAAAACATATACAATCCCCCTGAGAGTTGTAGCTTGACGGAAACTTTTACAATGACGTGCTGTGCTTTTATGGAGTTCGATCATTCAATGGTCGTCGAGTAGTCGAATGTTCGATGTTATCGAATGCTTCAAGTATTCGATGACCATCGAAAATTCGACTTTCGAATAACATTCGAAAGTTGAGATTCTCGAATATTCGAATATCGAATATATTCAAAAACTGGAAATTTCGAATATTCGGCTTTCGAATTATATTAGAGATCTCAAATCTTCAGATATTCGACTTTTCGAATCATTCGCATTCGAATGCTTTATTCGAATGACCTAATAATCATTCGATTCGATCCCAAGTACAGTTTGCTCCAATCCTGACCAGGCCAAAATTGGCATGGCGGGAGTTCGCGTCGCAAGGGTTTCGCGCCACTTCTGCGGCTAGCTAGTCTGATCTCTCCTCAATCTCTTCGCTCTCTGCGACAGCGCGCGTGTGCAGCGCAAACACCTAGCGCTGCCAGCGCGCAATTTCAGCTGATGGTTCGGCCTGATCCCGTTTGGGGCAGACTATATACCCCGCCCCTGCAACTGTCTGAGAACGAGCCGCCGCAAAACAGTTCATTTTCGTCTTTAGAGCTAAACTTCGGCTGAATGTGAGGAAAACGAGGTATTAGTAGCGTACAGTTCGCCTTTTCAGACAATCTCTTGACCGAAATCAATGTCAAAGATATCCAAAGCGAGATAATTGTTGCAGAAGCTACACAACCGACCTGTCGTGGGAGGGTGAAAATCCCGACCTTTCGCAATCATTATGTAGGGTCGTTTGGATCCTATAATTATAAGTATAGCCAAATGCGCATTTTATTTGCATTTTGTAATTGACATTGATGCGCTGCGCGTTCATATGCCCATAAAACCAAGGATTCCAAGAAAAGTCGTTATTCTCGTCTTTGTGCTCTCGCTGCATTTTGATCAGCAGGAAGAATGCCTTCCTTCTAAATTTCTTTTATCAGGGAAAAACGAGTGAAAAGACTGCAGACACCAAGTGAAAAGACGGCAGACACCAAACTACGTAGACATGAAAGCCTGGCAAGATGCCTAGACGATAGGTTTGCGAACACGACGCAAGGCTTCGCAAGGCGGCCAGATTTTAAGGTGTCCCTTTTGGCCCAAACCCGGACACGTCGACCAAAATTAAACTTAATTCAACTTGTTTTCTTTTCAGACCCACAAAAAATATCAATTTTGCATTTTGCCCAAAGCGAAGTCCAGCCTGCTTCCAGACGATCTGTGCCGGTCCTGATTTGTATGCTCCCACTGTCAACATGCATGTGTCCTTTAGTTTCTATAATATGGATGATTTGGTAAGGTACCTTCATAACGGTGACGTCTTCTTATGTGTCTCGCCGTTGGGTGAATATGATGAATGATTTAAGGTAAGAACTCAACAGGATTTTTTGAGCAAAGCAGCATAGTCGGCTGTTTTCGTTTCTCAAGCTTATCCTTCTGTTCGGCTGTTCTTCCTGCACTTTGTTATGTGCCAAAACGTAAGCAGATACATACCACTTGGCACCCAGGATCGAACTCCTCACCGAAGTCTGGGGCCAGGTTTTCGAAATATAAGGGACGCACTGAATATCTAAGTGGACTTCGAGATTCGGACAAAGAGCATCTCCCACTTGTAACCAGAGTTGAGCAAGAGGTCAGGCACAAGTCTTTCGAAAACGACCCCCATCTTCCTCCTCCTTTAAAAGGGGAGACGGTCAGGAGGTACGATCGGTGCGATTTTGGCGAAGCGACGCCACAACGCACTTCAACCAATAGAAGAGCACCACTCCTGCTGCAGTGTTACTTACACCGTCGAGTCATGTATAGGTGTTCGAAAAATTGTGACGATGGCGCGACCGCGCGCGACACGCACGCACCTCCGGCAATCGCATTTTCTTAGTTTTCATCTCTACTCCAATTCTGCTCACATATGATAGTATCTAGACACAATAAGCGTTGAGACCATGCCTTTTTGTAAGAACGTATTTTGCTACTATGGGCGCAAAGATCGAGCCAAATCTGTTGTCACGATTTTATAAATGACCTATATCTGCCCTCATCCCCACCCCCTGTTTTTGCCGCCGGGATTCCCTCACGGCGGAAAGTTTTGGGGTTCCAAGAATCGAACGCGGCGTTCGCGACAGAGTGGCCGCCGCGCCTGCGTACCTCCTGACATGCAATCCTCTAAAAGCCACAACCGATCTCTTTTTCTCCCTTTTCACCTCCAGAATCTCAGAGAGCGATATTTTGGAAAACACTGTCGTTTTTAAAAAGGTTTTTATTGAAGTCTGTACTCTAGGTTTTCTGTGATTGCACTTTACAATCACACATATTTTGAAGAGTGATTCTGATCTGAATGAATTTATTGCAAGGATCATAACTTCCCCAAGGCTGGGGTGCTTGGCTCCAAATTCTCATTGTAATAAGAAGGAGCTATGAGCTCAATATTCATACTAAATATGGAGCGATTTCTGGATTTTGAAGACAGTTAAGGGGGGTCAGGTGCAAGGCTACAAAAGCTCAGGCGGCCTGACTTTTTGAGGGGTTGCGCCTGACCCTATTAACTTTATCACTTTTCCACCCTAGTTTTATGTGTTCGTTAGCACAAAGCTCGATTATTCTACATTAAGTGTTTGAGCTTACTTGAACTTGTTCCGACTTTGTGGTGATCGGTGGAGTTGAAGTACTCTAGGTAGAAAACGCGGTGATTGGAATATTGTCAGTTTTCTTATCCATTTTTTGAAAGCGATAAGAGATCTAATTTCTACCACAGACTGATTGAGTATTACTTCGGTTTGAGCACAAGAAAACAGATTTCTTTTACTTTTATGACCAAGTTGAAAATCACGCTTTCTTGACGTTAGCAAACACTAGAAAATGTGATAGGTGGGGGTTGTAACGTGCAAGGTAAGAGATGAAGAAGTGAAATTTGGCTAAAACTTCGTTAGTGGAGTTAACCGATATGCAGTTCACGACAGTAGTTGTCTCTCCGCTGGAATAGTGATAGACCAGTGATATTCACTGATCTAGCGCTCTCTTCTTCACCTTACTCTATCTGTATTTCCTCAACTTTTTGAACAAAATCCGTTCTTGATTAAGACTCTCCCCCCCCCTCCTCAGTTCCCCAATACGCCCCCCCCCCCCAGGTCGGACGCGCCTGATCCCTCACTCACCCTGCTTGTAACCCAGCTTAGGCTGAAAGTTATACGCTGATAGACTGCCAATGAGAAAAACAGACAATAAGCAGACGCATTTCAAAACTTTCCTGGAAAGATTTTCAATAAGTTTGAGAGAGTAGCTTTTGAGGAGGAATTTCCTACTAAGAAAGCTAGATACGATTTGTGCAATTGGATCTCGGAACCCAGGCACCGACATACAGCATGAAAGTCGTGGATGACGCTGGCGAAAGACAATAACAAGTGAAACCTGCGCTCAAGTATGATCTCACTAACGTGAGATCAATTGGGGTGAAAAAGTTTGGGCTTTTGAGGATCCCAGGAAAAAGAATTCCAATTATGGAATAACTTGTGAATTTGGTATTTTCTCGAGTTTCTTACACTCGAGTGGACTCATCATCATTACACTACATTTCTTGATATGATCACTTTGTATGCCGCCTTGTTACACTTAAGTTCTGCAGAAAATGTGACCAAAAACATTACTTATGCGACTTACCTTTCACATAACTGCAAAAACAATCGAGTTCGTTCCGCTCAATTTTGAGGGATTGGCAAGACAGCTCGGCTGTTGCAATTTGAAGGCAGTGTCCTGCCAAAAAGTCGATATCGAGATTTTATACTTACCGAGGCCTATTCGCTGCCTGAATCCAAAATCCACTTTAGAAAGCGCGAAAACGGCAGAAAGGGCTCTAGCGCAGAGCGGAAGTCAGCGGGTTCTTCCCCATTGTGTATTCACACTCCCAGCTTCCGGGACAATCTTCTTGAATTTGCTCGCCGCCCTGGTATCTCCACCGGCGAAGTGATATCTTGATATGACTTTTCGCCCGGACACTGCCTTCAAAATCAAGTCATCTTTTCTTCCAAATTGCCTTATGAAAATAAATCACTTTGTATGGAAAATCTGCCATGATTCTCAAATGCACGAAAACTCCTTTTCTTGATATGATCAAATGAGCACGACACAGGTAAATCAGTTGGGATGACGATATCGTTTAAAAAATTTCCAGCTCCATCTACATGTGTAGCAACATTGCGACTTAGTGCTACAGCTCATACACGGTCATGACTACTCACCGTTGCTCTGTTCTGACTTCCCTTAAACGATGGCACCATCTTCCCACAAATCATTGTATAGATTGAAAACATGAGGAAGGGAGGTTAGCCTAAGGTAACCAACTAGCAGTGAAGGCTTAAGGTAGCCTAGTTCTTGGTGGCCTCCGGCCTTAGTGGCAGGAGTCATTAACGTGTTCTTGGTACATAAGTTGTATTAGCCTGCTGCATAGTTCTGTTCGATTTTTGCTTATGTTTGAAGCAGCTATTCTAAAATTTCAATTCTAATGCGATGTTATTAGTATTATTAGGAAGTGCTTTTCTTGCTCTTTCTAATGCATATCAAATTTTAGTAAAATTTCTTACAAAGGATGGATACTAACTTAGATACGCCTTTCAAGACGGGACACATATATTTGGAATCAGCTTTGAACGCTGATTCCAAATATACTGTCCTTAGCTGCTTAGTGTTATTCCGAAGCGAGTGGTGGGTCTGCTTTGTGAATTAAACATACTTCCGAGTCTTGTAAGACGGCGTGTCGATAAGAATCTCCCGAAAAAGGGTTAGGATGTTGAACTAGCATCAGGTTAATTCTTACAATCTTGAAAGAACATTATACAATTGCGAAACCATCTGGACGTCGACATTTTAGCATCAGTAGGTCGAGGAGCACGCAAACTTTGCATGGAAAGGGACCATGACCCGCTCCAGAATGACGCTAAGCAGCTATGAACAGCATATTTGGAATCAGCGTTCCAAGCTCCAAATACGAGTGTCTCATCTCAAAGGGCGAATTCAAGTTAGCATCCTTCCCTTGTTAGTTTAAGGAAATTTCAAACCGAAAATCTCCAAGTAGCTGAGATACGTTCTCACCCTAGAAATATGTTCTTGCGAGAAAATCTCCACAATGCACCCTTCTCTAGTTCTTTCGTTGGTTGCCGAATAAGGGTGTAGAAGGCTGATAAATGCAGAAGTTCAGTTTCACGAAATAATCGTCTTGCTAGCAAAATTTGTAGCCGAATATTGGTTTTTGTATAAATGTTTTACAAGCAACAACTTCCTGCAAATAGGAGTAACCGATGAATTTAAAGTTGGAGATGTTACGGCGCAGCAAGAGCTAGCAGGGCCCATCCAGCAATCCCTTTTCAGCGCTCATTTCAATTGTAAAATTTTAATAATTCGTAAATAGGCATGCACACATGTGCTGAAGCGAGGTCAAAAAGTGGCTTCTCTTTGCTTGGACAAAAAAGCAACGCAGACCTATGGGCTCTTTTATGTTGCGAAATAATCTACGAAAATTTGTCTATCTACCCCTTGTTAGAGATGATATGCCTATCAATTCTCATAGGGGAATATTGCCATGTCAAAAAAGTTCGAAAAAAAACGCTGTAAAGTTTTCAAGTTCTTGATTCTTTCTTAACAAGGCTTTTCGCAAGTATCAATATATGTCTGATAGCCAAGGAACTGCTCAACACATAGAAACTAAGATGTTGGAAAAAGTTGACTTTGAAAGAAGTTATGACGTTTTGAACTCAGAAAATTCAAATTGGACAAAACTTATGCAGCCGACTAATATATTAGGTCGTTCCGAAAGTAATGTCGCTTTTTTCGAATGAACGCCACTATTCGTGGAATCAACACTTTCAAGAGATCTTAAGAGCATTCGATGCAGTTTTTCATCCCCTTTCTAATGGTTGCAATTTCACTGCATAATGTATAATGAGCTCTCGAAATTACCAAAATCTGCGACTCATACTTTTTGCCATGGTCAAGTTCGGCTATTTTTCTAAATTTTTGTACCTAATCTCCGAAAAAGCACAAGTGACAGGTAGATAGAGCAAACACTATAGAACGCAGAGTAATTTTTTCTTTTCCTTAGCTTGCTTCTCAGAGTTTCTACAATCAATCTACAATTCCTCAATGCCATCAAATTCCATATTTAGTCAAGTCAAACCATTCGATGCAGCTTTTCCTCCTCTTTCTAGCGGTCGTTTATGTTTCTTGTTTCTAATTCATCAAGTTTTCCAGGATAAAATCATCATATTCAAGTTTTCCAAGACACCCCAAGGTGTACCCGAAATTTCCGAAAGTGGCTAAACCGAAGCGGTGAATGCTCGTTTGGTTTGTAAAATTGTTATCAAACCATAATCCATCTTTGTAAGTTCCAAATTCCGGAGACTTGTTGGCGTTTGATGCACTTGTGTCTGAGACGAGCCTGCTAAAATTCGGTGGTTCCATCAAAAAATCTGTACAAAAATTATGACGAGCTCTGGAAAGTAGAAAAAAGTTGTACTGTTTCCTGTAGGGTTTGCTCCATCCATCCATTACTTGGACTCCTTCTGAGGTTTGTTATGAAATTTTAGAAAAATTGTGAAACTTGGCAATCTCAAAAAGCATGGGTCGCAGATTTTGACTCTTTTCTGTAAGCTCATTGACTGTGTTGCAACAGCTTCATAACCGTTAGAAAGACAATGAAATGATGCATCAAATGCTACCAGAACCTCTTACATATCTTTGTTCCGCGAGATGTGGCATACGTTTGAAAAAAGCGACATTACTTTCGGAACGACCTAATATAATAAATATCACTGTATGACCACTATAACCCGCTGCACAGGTAAGAAAGGAGCCAACCTAAGTCCCGGTATCTCCGTGATTATTTGCATAGAATTCAGCGCAATTCTCGTGATCTGCACAGATGATTGTGCTTGCGCATTGTTTCGAAAGATCAATGCCACATACACCACGCAAATAATACCGTTAAGGAATTTTTTTTGCTTCTTCGATTATACTTACCTTTTGTTACCAACCTAAAAAGCAAGCTAAGATGTATGATTCTAACGTAGTCACGACTATCAATAGAGAACAACAAACAAACTAAGTGAATAATTTTTAATCGTATCGTCACAAATAATACAAATATCACATATCAAAGAGCACAGACATGAAGAAATACCCGAATAAAAATCACAATACAGTGAAAGTTGGCCGACATAGCGCGCACGGAGGGAAATCTACCGGATAAGGAAATGCTGGCCTAACAGAAGCAATCACATGCTAAGGCAGTGTAAATGCAGTAAAAGACAATGACTAGCTATTCTACACTTTGTAAAAGGAGGACGGGGGATTTCTATAGATCGAAAATGATAAGACACTTGGCACAAACAAATCGGCACATTTCAAAGGCACTCAGATCATCAACAGTAAGACATTTTGGTCATGATTACACCTGAAGAAGTAAATATATGAGGCGAGACGGACAAAGGCGCTAGTTTCTCGCCGAGATGCAGCTCTGGCAGTTTCGGCAGCAATGAAAGTATGGCTAAACTCTCATACCCTCGTCTTCCTCGTCTCTCCTGCGGCTCTTCTTGCTCCTTTTCGACTTCGAATGTCGAGAATGGGACATTATGTACATGGGGCAGATCCAGCATTTGCAGATGGGGATGACGATTTTTGTCAGTACGACGTAGACTACGATGAGAACACAAACGTAGACAAGGATGTCGGTGGCCATCATAACGAATTCGCCAAGTGAAGAGACACCGTTGACCCATGACATCGGATTCAAATATCTGAAATCAGATAATTATGCAAAACAAAGCTTAAATTTTGGATTTATAACAAAACAGGGCTCATTATTCTCAAGGGGTTTCGTTTAATCATCAAGCAAACTTGACTATCTATTTATAGTATTGGAGGGTTTTGCAAACGTCAAGAGTATCGTGAAATGAGAGCCTGATCTGATTTCTCTGACTTTAATGAAGAAACAGACAACAGAAAACTTACTTTGATAAACCAGTGAGATTGATTTGGTTACAAGTCGGACAACTTCCAACCATTTCATGCCACGTATTGTGCTCGATATCAATCTGAAAGACACGAAATTAGTCGCTCTCCCTATCTTCCAAAATGCATTCCTAAGAAATAGCTGACATATGTTCGGAACTGTGCAACACATGGTGCCTTGCATGATTTTATAACGATTATACAGTCTTGTCAGAATCTAAAAAAAATCAACTCGACTTGGATTCTACTTTTGGGACCTTTTTGGAGCTGTGCCAGCTAGAATTGTTCATGCTAAATACAGTGCGGCATGAGAATGCGGGTTAGCATACGATATTAATTTCTTTTTTCTTTTACAAAGTATACCGTGAAATTATTCAGATCGCAAAAACTGCCAGCCTCAATTTTATGTGTAAACGAGCTGGCATCCCGTTCCACCCCGGTTTGGAGTCAGTTCCACAGTGCTTGACCTTTCATGCAGCAACTTATCCTTTTTTGAGTTTTGTCTTGAGTTTCTACTGTCCTTACCATGTCTTGATGAACAGCAGATCAAAATAAGCTCCCGCCCATTCTTCATGAACTATGGGGAATGTGCACAGACCTACAGATTTTCTGCTTTATATATATAGAGATTTTGAGCAAAAAGGTTATTTGACGTGAGTTCATTCAAGGACTTTTTGTTGGCCAACAGCAGAAAGTATAAGCTTTTTTGGGCGCGACTTTGCGGTTCAAAAAATTTAGATGTTGGCGGTTTATCGCACCAGTGATAGGGCGCTGTCAGCGTCTCAAATCAAACGCACCTTTATTTCTCTTACTTTCTACTTTCCTTCCCGAACACGAGATGGCTCGATCAAACGCAAAAGTGACAGTCTCTGCGTGAACTGCCTATACTGACCGTTCCTAAGTTTCCAGATATCTATTCATAATAGTTCAGAATTCTAAAACTTATGACGTGGAATGTCCAGATTTGATCAGATATTTACTACTCTGACGTTGAGTTTGACGGAGAAAATTTTTTACATCAGAATTTCTGAGCAACTGCTGACTTCTAGAGAAACTGCTGATATAACCAAAGAAAACTTCCAAAGAAGTCTTTGCTGCTAGTTTGCTGTACATCTTAACTTGCGTGCCGCTTGAGTGAAAGTTGCTGTTAATGGAGAAACTCCAAAGATGACTCGTAAACTTCAAGAATCTTGCGCTTGAGTTCGTAATTTCCTCTACCTTACAGACAGATATAAAAGCAAACGCATCCCCTTCAGCGTGCTTTACTATCGCTCTTATTGACCATCTTGATGAGTAACTCATAAAGATGATCTCTTTACAGAATATGAGTTTCTTAAGTCAATAGCAAGCGAATTTTCAACACCTTTGACCAGATTTTGTTTGAATAAACTCATCAAGTTCATCTAAATAAACAGATGACCCATAACTGAGAAAACAAACCTCAAGAGGTGTCTCATGGTAGTCAACGATACGACAGACCGCTTGCTCTTCGCGTTGTTCATCAGCGTAGAGACAAATCATCCTTGGTCCTGCTTCTACTACTGCTGGCAGTGGGATGATCATTGAACGGTTGGCAGCCTAAAAGACAAGATTTGTTGGAAATTTATTCGGGGGGAGGGGGGGGGGGGGGTAAAGGCATACGTTAAGATCATGGACATAGGTGGTGAACGAAAAAATTTCGTCAGAATCCCTCTCAGTCGAGTATTTTACTGCACCGTTAATTTTTCCAGAAGCTCCGTATAATGTAACGTTGAAGTACCTGAAGAATGACCCATTGATAAGCAACAAAAATCCTCGAGAATAATTTCTTGGAAACTTGCCAACCTATTGCTTCTTGAGTCAACGATAATTGTACCAGTGAAGTCTGAGATCCTCGATGCATTGTGGAAGAAAACCAGGCGATGTCCTTCGTTGTCTCCATTTACTGAAAACACCAAAATTGTATTCTTCTGAATTCTGTGTAGATCAAATTGAACCGGACCTTGTAGAGTTATGTGAAGGTTAGTGCCTTCTGCATGTGTGACAATCACTTGTCGAAGTGATCCATCATAAATTCGTGCGCTTTGAATCCATGGATACATTATTTCCAATGGTCGCGAAAGATTAAAGTTACCAGGCATCTGCAAGAACCTTGGATAAATTAGTGTCAAAACGTTATTATACATCCTTTTTTTTCTATGAATTTGAGGAGCGATGACACAAAAAGGAAAGGAAAATACTGATAGTCTACATTTCAGAATGAAACTATAGGCATATTCCACATCTTTTTTTGACCAGAACATATAAAATCAATGTGAGATAAAAGAGGAAAATATGTAAAGCTCACGTAGTTCTTTGCGTCAATTATGCTTTTGTAAGTCTGATCGCGGCAGTTTTTCACCTGAAAATTTCAATTTGAAGTGGCAAATTTACGATCTGTGATCTACGCACTTTTGCTTTGTGAATTTCCTCCATCTTGACAATGCCATTGTTTACGTGAAATCTTCCGCTGTCGTCCATCCGGTACCATCCTAGTCGATCAAAGCTGGAGAAAAATTGAGTTGTGGTTGGATAGTAGGGCAGATGTGGCTTAACAATTTTTCAGAAAAAAATATTATACTTACTTATTATCGGTTATTTCATTTAATGGCTGTTTTCTCAGTTCGTCCATTTCTCCTCCAGGGTTGGAGTTAGCAAAGTACATGCCAGTCTCGAGCTGATGAGAAGCTCGTCCGCCAGCCGAGACCGACAGAGCTATGCGTCCTAAGGAGTCTAGGTATCTGGAAAAATTGAAAATATAACTGTAAGAAATAAAAAGTGTTGCATTATGAGAGGTCCATTATAATGTTTGAGGGTTTCGTGAGCAAATGATAGCTTAGAAGTTTAACAATTACTAGAATAGAAGCTATGATTTGAGAAGAAGAAAATTTGCTGGGTAGTTCTGTCAGTCGGACTATTGAGGTAACTTACCTATCCTGACTTCCTCCATCAAGCTGCGTTCGAATTGTACTTCGATCTTTTTCTATCCATCGTCCATTACTGTAGTCATAGGCAGTATAGACGAAAGTTGCGAATGTTGATGGTTGTTCCAATTTCACTGCCGTGTATGTTTGATTTCTGGAAAAGTTTCATGAATGGTTAACGACTTTGGAAGAAAGGGAAATGTAAGAGTTTGGTGAGCAAAAACTCTACAGGTTCAGCGGACAACAGCAGTAAGTAATTTTCATAGAAATGTGCCGTAAGTATCCACAAACTTATTTGGAAATCATTATTTTTTATTTTCTTTTTCGTTTTAATCACTTTTTCTTGCGAAGTTTTCCAAACTATTTGGTTGATGCATACTATTGCTCTAAAATTTTGATAATTCCCCTATTTAGTCCAGCTTTGTCAAAATCTTCTTATTTGATTACACAGTAAGAAAAAAATTTTGCTCTTTTTGCATGTGCGCGAGCCGAACTTCCATGTTATAATGGCAGTGATACAAGCTTAAGAGATCCCCAGGAAGTGATTTTTCGACTTTGATTGCTAAACTGCTAAAAAATTGCTCTACTGAGATCTAAATTTGTTTTGCTCTTGGTTTCGTGGCCTACTCTTTCTGTCTAAAAAAAGATGGTAATGATCAGATGCGTCTACAAATCATAATGATCTTCAATCTTGGATTCGACTTACTAATTTTTTAAATCGATTTTCAAAGGTGTATCATACCTTTAATATAAACAAAAAAGAGCACGTTTCGTAAATTGATTAGCTGGTTCAAGCATTTCACAGCAATTTCAATTCTTTACTGCAATTTTTTGGAATAGCGCATGGTTGTACCTTATCACTCCTAATTATCAGATTTACTGGCTGGTATTTGACTCGCTGTAACTTTGTACTGAAAAATGTACTGTGGCTCCACAAAAAAATACCCTCCCATTCCAAAGTCAACTATTGATTTTCAACTTGAACACCCTTGCCACACCCCAGATTATTATTTTTTTCATCCCGGTCTGCCTGCACTATTGTCAAGCGCGTTTGAACAGTCATGCTTGGACATTTGCATAAAAACACTACGCACATCACGAAAAAGATGCCCTTTGATGTCGTTTGTACTTCAAGGCTGTATATTACGATTTCATCATTTGAAACACTTATCAAGGTCAAGTGAAGAGGTATTATTGTGAATTGATGTTTCGGCGGGTTATGAACTTTTCGAAGAGCTAGAAAAAATGGGCCAAGAAGTCGCTTCCAAGTGCCTTTTGCTATTTTTGGATAGTGCAAAGGTTATTGAAGGGTTGTGATTTGAAAAGTTCAAAATGACTTTGGATGGAATTGATGTCTTTTTAGCCAATATTAAACACAATCCTCAGAAATGTTTATTCCTGTCGGAATACGATAGATATCCGGTATAAGATCAGAATATCGAAACTCGCTATGTTTGAGGGGGGTTATCATCTGATTTATTTTCTTTTGTTTGAGAGGCGTTCTTGCGTCATAGTCAAAAATTAACATTGAACTTTGTTTACAGAACCATTTAACAAATTCTCAACCTTCCAGATCCTAAATCATACCGTATAAATACCGTATCCCAACAAAGAGAACCTCCACGGAAGGATATAACGTTATCCTCAAAAAGTTCTCTACTGCAGTTTAGCAAGTTACTTTCAACTACAACATGTTGAATTTTTTCAAAAACTCCCTATTTCTTATTTCTCTTCCCCCCCCCTATACAAGAATTATTTGTAGCAAAAAATTCAACTCACTTATATGGCCTAAACTTCACATCGCAACAAAGTTTGGCATTACTTCCGGTCGGGCAACCGATTGGTGATTGATTTGGCAAAAACGTCCGATAGCACGAGGTGAGCTGAAAAAACATCTATTATTAGTCAGATAAGGAGTCATTCCAGGAAAGTTCCGGAAGTTAGCTGACTCACGAAGTCTCTCTTGGGGTCTTCTGGACAGAGGGTGTACTGGTAAGACTCGGCCGTGCAGCTGTCCGAGTTAGCATTACACTCACAAATGCAATCAGCTCGTACTTCGGGTATTCCAAATTGGTAACGTTGGGTCACCTAAAATAAGTGGGTTTTTGCAAAGTAAAAATGTTCACTGCATTGGATCTGACTATTAATACAGTGCATTTGCGGTGAAGACAACATCTGCGCGAAAACAAATGCAGTGCTTGTAAATGCCGGTGATCTGCTTGCGACTTGCTCGTAAAAAACGACCATAGAGCACACACTGCCGACATTTACGCGCAAATGTTGTCGACAGAGCAGAGATACCACATTGGTCGCCAAAATAGGGGGGGAAGGGGTAGCTTTATAATTTTCTAAAAAATAGTTTTGATGCGAATGACCAAGAAAAATTACCGGGTGATGATGTTCTAGCCGATCTAGTCGAATTGTATGCAACCATGAGGATGCAGGCTGATTCTGTGATTGCACCAAATGATCGGAATGATTCGACAATACAGCGACTCCCTCTTCAAGTCGAAAGCATACGGTAGTGTGCAATCCAATGTAGAACTGCATCTGCATACCACCTCGTGAAATCGCCGCATTCGCACCTAAATTGCGTCGTAAATAGTGACACATCGGTCCGATGACGAGCAGTTGAAAACTTAGGGAAGAAAGCGCAGGAGAGATAAAGCAGATCCATTAAAGGATCGTTGAGCTGAATTGATGCGATTGAAGAGGATGGGGGGAGGGGGGAAGAGATAGAAAGAGAATCAACAAGCTAACAATGATTTAATGATTTGAAACCCGCCACTGAGGGTTTTTTGACGGAAGCTATAAAGGGATTAGGGCCTTAATGAGGATAAACTGACTGATAAATGACCTAGCCTTCTAATCCTGCTCCCCCCCCCCCCCTCCCCTCCACCCTCCCCAGCTTCCTGCAGTTGAAGTCATCCTGTTTTTCTGACTGTCGTCCTAATCACCCGTAAAAATATGCACAGCGAGTTTACAAATTTATGAAACCATACCGTATATCTGCCGTACCGTTCTAAATAACGTGTCTGAACACGTATAGCGCACTCTAAGGCCAAAATCATACCGTATACCTATGATATGATTGATAGATGGCATAGCTACCTCCTCCTTCATGGAATTGAATGCCAATTTCGTTATCAGCGTTTCAAAATCCCCTCTCGAACAAATTTCAAACGAGTTATAAAATTCTGCATTCATATCGTACACTTACCGTATACCCACTGTATTCTCAGAAAGACTACTGAAACAAGTTGATGGAATCACCTTAACACCAAGTTGTACCAAAAAAGCGCTTTCCTTTGACGACTTGGGAAACTTTTGAGCAATTTTAGATAGTTTTCATATCGCACACCTACCGTATACCTACCGTACTCCCAGAAACAAAACTGTCGACACTATGCCAAATGACCCGCCTATGCGGATTTTCCAACTTTAAATATAGTGCTTTATCCTGATTACTAAAATCCTGTAAGAAAGTTTGAAAAATTCGTTCTTTTGCCCTATAAGTGGAGCTACCATATTTCAACACAGAAAAGTGTGGTTCTAACCAATCTGCCAAAACATTTTCAAATCTTCTTACCTCTATGTACTTGGTAATCGGAATTTCGTCAGACAATCATGTCATCCCACTGCCCTTACCCCTTCCCCCCCCTCCAAGAAAAAGTGACTTTGCGAAACCGAGACCTAATGAGCAGTAATAACCATAACTTTGTACATTCGGCTAAAAATCCCGCATTTGCATTGTTTGCCACAGCATGATGGTGTGACCGTCACAAAGTTTCAGGAACATTAATATACTGGTGTTGTAATAAATATGTCTTTCTATCAAACAAGTTCTCTAGAGAACAGAAAAATTTTATGGTTTCCAGGGTTACAGTAATCCGAAAGAACTTTATTAGTAGTTAGGTTCATCTCGGTTTAATTACGTCTAGTTGTTCAGGCTGGTTGAATATTCTTGACTACTGAGAAAACTGCATCAAATGTCATTTGATGAATTCTGATTCTTGATTTTGGGTTTGGAAAAAACTCGTCAAAAATCATTTTCAGTGATGCTTCCGACTCTTGGTTATTTTTCGAACAGAAAACGCAATAAATAGAAAGCTGAATTTTAGGAAACTTTAGCACCCTAAGACCCTCGATTGCTCATAACATCAAACCCACATTCAAACTTCGGAATCCTTTCCCTCTCTTCTTTTTCTCTTTCTCTCTCCCTCTCCCCTCCCCCCCCCCCCCGGACCTATCACAGCCTTATTTGTCCCATTGAAATAGATGACAGGGTCATTTTAGGGAGTCATAAAATCTTACGATAGTAACAGATTGTTTACAAATGAAGTTCAAAGTAAATACGGTATGATTTGTAAACAGCTGTAGGATTACTGTAAATGACACATATCAGTCAAAATTTTCATCAAAATACTTCCTATACCACCATAGATGATGCAAAAGAACATATGCCACAAAATGGCAACACTACGTTATCTGGGAATTTTAAATTTTTCGGAATTTTGTTTGACATTAGTATCAAAGCTTTTGGAGAACATTACATCGGGAATTTTATGGCAATTCGCAAGTAACATCATAGGTTGGTATCAATTCCATGTACTGTCCGTAATGAAATTTTTTCTTACTTTGATGTTCAGAAATTTCGTAGAAAATGGGAGACATCAAAAATCATTATCAATTTCCCGAGCTTTTCATCGCGAAGGTTAGAAATTTTCTAATTTTGGTCGCATATGGGCATTACTTTGTGATTATAGTCTAATGAAAAAAAAAGAAGCGAAAAAGTATTGACTCACTTGTAGAAGCCTGAGCAATAACAATAGGTGTCCTAGAACAGTGTGGAGGTTGTATAGGAAATAAATTTCTGAATAAGTCTTCTGTCGGTCGTTGTGATGTGGAATGTTTTATCGAGAAGAGTAGCGCGAGAAGGGGAAGGAGCCGTCGCGGCCGCATCCTGAAAACGACACAAGTGACTGAGAGCAGCATGACTGTATGTGAATCAACGTCGAAAAAGAAGAAGATGCGCGAGATGATCCTTCTTTTTAGGGGGGAAAAAAGAAGAAGGAGGATGAGGAAGATCAACTGCTAGAAATAAGGAATGTTTGCGCCTGGTAATGGGCAAAACGTGAGGGTAAGTAAGCGATTCAACGAACAAAATAGAAGAAATCTGATCCATTGATTAGTCAACGCAGCGCCTGTGACCGGTCTTCTATTGTTCTTAAGCGACGAAAGTGAGTATGTTAGAGTGTTATTCACGAACTTTGTGTCAGTTGACCTGACCACCCTGACGGGTAAAAGTAAAAACGCAAAGACTCTCAGCTCTGTGCAAAGAATCGCTCTTTATGCGCATTCTCCTCTGCGCAATTCGTCATTTTCGAAAATTCTCCCAACTTTGTGATTCATTGCAACATTGAAACCTATATGGTTGATTGAACTAAAACAGTCATTGCCCCTTTGGAATGAAAATAATTTGTAAAAGATGAGAATTCGAGCGCGTTATTTCGGCGATGACGAGTCAAAGGTAAACATAGAGACATTCGGCACCGAAACATACTTGTAGAAAAAAGTAGTAACAAGCAAGTAAACGCGCTTTAAAGCACAGTTTACAAGAGTTTTTATTTATTGGGAATGGTTATCAGGGTCTAAGCGAACAGTACAGCACATGACTGAAGAATATTCCAGGAATAACGCTGAGACTGTCATCCAAAGATGACAAACAAACTTCAGAACTGTGTAAAGGTTATGAAATGAGTAAGCACGCGACAGGGTTTTATTCACTTCAGGAAGTAATAACGGGAAAAAGTTGACAAATGTAATGTATCTCTAAATGGGTTTGACGAACGACTGACCCATTGATGAGGTTTTACTTCTATAAAACGCTGTCATCTCAGCTTCATTGAGAAAGGGCAAAGGTACTGACAACAAAGGGAAGTTAAGAGAGATTTGATTTTTGACAGAAAACTCCTTTGTATGGCTAGAATAAACTTAGAATGACCCTATAAATATGAGAGCAGAAAATATAAATCGTTGTCCACAAGTAGGATGACAAATTGGAAAATATCAAGAAATGAGTCCCGAGATTCAAAAAAATTAAATTGACCCCTACAAGATTAAGTGCAGAAAGTAAAGTCATTGTCCACGAGTAGGGTAATAAAATGGAGATTTCAGTGAAAAAGCGCAGTTTGAGGATTTTGTGGACATAATTTCCTGAATTTTTCCATGACATGATAAAATAAGAATTATTGATAAAACATAACTTCAGGCGTAAACACTTATTTTGACAAAACTATCTCTCAAACCTCACTAGATTGCGAGAAAAAATATTTTAAAAAAGTAGTTTCTAGAAATTTGTCGAAAATATTTTTCAAAACTCGGAAAAATTGCTCAATTTTTCAGGAAATCTCAGAAACGACATTTATGGGGCAAAGGAGAATCTCCCCCCCCCCCCCCCCTTAGCCAGCATAAGATGCAAAATGCAAAAATAGTGTGTTTTCCTGCAGAGGACATTTTGTAACAAATTCAAGGCGTTTTGGCCAGAAACTTCAAAATCAAAAAAAAACATTAGTTTATATCAATACGAGATAAAATCTATAGACAGGCCGATGTAAGAGCATGTTATTTGAACAGCTGCCAAAATAAAAAAAATCGACTTGTTCGCGGCAGATTTGCATATGTTCTTTGCAAAAATTTGCAATTTCAAATGAGTTTTCGATTTTTCGACATGAAAAACCTCAGGACTGCTTTGACCCCTGGACCCTCACAAATTTTGCAAAGTAAATATAAAATTATTGTCCATGCGCAAGATATTAAAATAGCCATTTGTTTGGTAGAATACGCTTAGTCTTAAAGCCTATAATAAGACTTATGAGACGAAGCCGAGAACATTACTCATCAAAATAAATAAAATTCGCGGCTAGCCGAACGAACGGGAACGACGAACGACGACGAGACGATGAGCGCGGGAACAGGAAGCACAGATTGGGCAACAACCTCGATGCACTCTCGCCCCTAGATAGGATCGTCGCGTGCGCGATGACCGTGTGGTTGCGATCGTATCGCGGTAGCTAGGATCATCATCGACGCGACAAATTGTGGTTACCCGGGTAAGCGTGCGCTTGGGTAGATTAGATCTAGATTAGTACATTATACGGTAAGTGAGCAGGCAAGTCAGTTTGCAAAAATGTACAATTGTAACCGGAAGGCAACAAGTAGCTGTCACGTAACGGAAAATTTTTGGAAAATTGTGATGAAACGAAAAGTGTTGAAAGTGTAATAATTGTAACAATTTCCTAAAAAAATTCCTAACTACATAGGTAAGTATGCTTAGATAGTTAGGATTTAAATTAGTATTATACGTAGGTAAGTAGGTAAACTCAGTTAGCAAAAAAACGCACAGCTGTAACGAAAAGGTAGCAACAGCAGCGATGAAACGGGAATTTTATTATGAGAAATTGCGCCAAGGTGGGAATTTTTAGCAAGACCGCAATGAAACCGTGAAATTTTGAAAAATTGTGTTCAGGATTTTTTTTTTGGAGAATTGTAATGACTTGAGATTGCTTCGGAAAGTAATGATGAAGTATCTTTTTTTGCAAATTTGTGATGAAAGAATTTTTGTAGGAAATGGGAAGGAAGTTGTAGCCGAACAAATTTCGTTTTGGAATTTCTGATGAAACAGAATTTTTCAAAAAAAAACTGTTGGGAAAATGCTATGAAACGGATATTCTTGGGAAAGCTGTGATGGAAGCGAATATCTTCAGAACCATGATGAAACAGGACTTTTTAGGGAAACTGCGTTGGGACAGATATTCTTCGGAATATCATGATAAAACGGGAAATTTTTGGGAGATTATTCAGTGTGACAATTTTTCAAAAAATTTGCCGTTTTACCGCAAATCCGTTTCTCTAAATCAAGCAATTTTGAAAACAAGTAAGAACTAAATCTACATCAGTATTATACGTTGAATAAATAGGTAAAGCGATGTCCATTGTCAACTGCGATGAAACGGAAATTTTTCGAAAGACTGTTCAGTGTAGCAATTTTTCAAAAAATTTTCCGTTTCAACGCAGTTGTTCGCGCTGTCTCTTCCGTTACAATTGTTGTTGACTTTTTCGGAATGCAATCAATTTTTGTATATGAAACTGGTGGTATACGCACAAAGATGGCAATTCACTTGCCCCCACTTACCCCCCTCCCACCTTGTACCCCTTCTTATGGGGCTATGAAAGATTTGAATTTTTCATTTATCACACCTATCACACGCTCTCCGGCTCATCAAGGTGATATTGTGACAGAAAGGACGCAACTTTCTCAATTGGCGAAATGGTTTTGAGGTCATGTTCAAGGACAACGTTCGTTTTGTTATGGCTAGCCGCTGACATTCGATACCCCCTTACCCGCTTGGAAAAACAAAAAGTGCAAAAATACCGGATAGGTAATGATCATGGCGAAATCAGCTGGAAATCGCCGTCGACAACAGCGTAAATCGCGGCAGGGGATTAGAGTGATACGATGATGGATGGGCTGGAAGGGCGGGGTCCCCGCCTGCCCGGGCATCTCATCATCATCTCTGAACCCGCATAACCCGACGAAGACCACAACTCACTACGGTAACCATATGACAGAGGGGCCATAATCGTTCGGGACAATGTAGCGCCCCGCGCACAATGGCGACGGCGGCACCCGCCACGCCCCCGACTTCGACTCCGACTTGCGCCACACCAGCGAAACCATATCTTTTATCACTGCAATTGTGTCCAACAGGGGCTGGAGGAGAATTTCGAAATGGAGCCGGACGGATGCGGTTGCGCAAGCGGACACGGCCTGGCACATTCTGGAATACGTTGTTTTTGTGAACTCGAACCTGAGAACGGTGGGAATTCGCATTCTCGCTTTTCACGCCGCGAGAACTGCTTTGCGTTTAAGTCTCTAATCGCATCATATCAAGAAAATAGATGAGTGAAGGAAGATTTTCATCTTTTCCTGTTGATTCTTCTTTCTTGAAAATGACTCAAACCAAGGCAGTAGGAAAATCAGGAGATGATCACACTCAAAAAGTTTAAGGTTGAAAAGTTATTTGGAGGGTACTGTAAACTTAAACTGGGTCTGACTCATCTCTCTCACTTCTCAGTGGAGTTCTTATATTGAAGATTATTTCAAAAAACCCTCAGATACAAAATTAGTCTCTAGGAATTTTTAACATGTACATTTTTTGAATTCTATACTTCAAAACGATAGAAACTAATTTTCGAAAAAATAACTTTTCAGAGTTCTGAAAATTATTCGGATTCGCTCAACTTGCCTATCCCATCGCAAGGTTGCTTGCATATTCCTTTGAAATTTCTTATACAACTTTTCATGCTTTTGGTACTAGCAAAAAATTCATTGTTCAATAAAACAACAATTCAAAATTTTCTGGGTGTATTTTGAACAACGAATCTTTGGGTAGAACTGGGAAAGCATTAAAAGTGATATAAGAAATTGTAGAGGAAGATTCAAGCAACCTTGCTACTAAACGGGAGAGAAACTCTGTTTTGAAATTTGACCATATAAATTTAATCATTTTGTCAAAAAAATTTTACTTGTTCACTAAACTCGTTCAGAACATAACGTGATTTATTTTGCACCTAAGGTGCTGTTTTTGAATGGACAAAAGCCTTCAGGTAAGAAAATCAGTAGTGTATGACTGATTTTTATTTCTGAACATTTACCTTTCATTTACTGGCACACCTTCGGTGTAACTTTAAACTTTAACTTTAAACTTTAAACTCACTGATTGACTTTCTATTTAACGCTGATAACTTTTTTGTTTAAATTTTTATTTGAGATTATTGACGAGGACGAGGCAAAGATGATTAGGATAATAACAAAAGTATGAGCACCACTCTAAATCCTGCAGACGCAAGGAGAAATTTGATGTTCAGCCAAAAATTGTTACCCATCCCCATCACATGAGTCTGAGTAGAAAGCTGAACTACGCGC